TGAGTCTCATAACCTTTGCCTTCCGCGGTCCTGTTCAACACTTACCATAAGTGCTAGTGTAATCCTTCAGTAAAAGACCAACTGAATCCGGAATACACTACAGTCTTTTTCCAAGTGGGGTCTCACTGCCAGTCTAGACTGTGAACGAATGGTTTAGTCTTATAAGGAACCGATAGGTGATCTTTCCGTTCGAAACTCTTCGAACCACACTATCTCAATATAAGTCATGGAGTATGTATTGCATAAATAAATAAATTGTAAACATATGTACTTTGACCGAAACATGATTGCCAGATCAAAATGGAATTGATAGATACTGCAAAACACAGCTGTAATATCCCAACTTTTATCAGTATAATAATATTTCAGTTCCGATTTTATTTTTCGGAGTTAATTAATTTCAGTTATTTCAGTCAAAATTACCGGAAATATTTTCGACGTATTGTTTACGTTCGAAATAATATTGGTAATTTAGCATTATGTTTAATTAGATAATTAAACATAACTAAGTGATTAATTTAACTTAATCATGAGATTAGTAATTGTTCGGATTTTATCCCGAGTTCATGTATTCGCGAGTGCCGTGTGTGTGCACGTTCGGTTCGAGTTCATGTGTGCGCGAGTATCCGTGCGAGTGTCTCGGTCCATAGGTTCGTGCGCGTACGCGTCCGCGTGTTCGTCCGGGAGAAGATCATACGCGCGAGTGTCGCCATCCGAGTCCATGCACGTCGCGCGATTTATGTGTGCGGAGAATCCGAGGACCGTGCGTGTGGTAGCCGAGAGAATCCGCGCCAGCATCTCCGTGAGTATCCGTGCTTTTTCCTTGGCATGTAGTAGGCGGAGGTTCCGAGAACTCATGGTAATCCGTGCGTGGACTTTGTCCTTTTACCCGTGAGAATCCGCGCCTCATTGGTCTTTGCCGTGCACATTGCCGTGCACATGTTGGCACTCTTCACGTGACTCCATGGAGACAAAGGAGTTAGCATCTTTCTTTGCATGATGGCCACATGTCCGAAGCCTTGACCATTTCCCCTCCCTCTCTTGTCTTCACTTTCGGCCGTGCATAAGAAGGGGGTTGGAGAGATTTTTCTATCTCCTTTTCACGCCCAAACTTCAAATGCCGAGAGTATAGAGTGTTAGAGAGTGCATTTGTGTGAGTTGTTCGGGAGATTTTACCGAGTTCGCGCACGGGAGTCCGAGTACACGCGCAAGCCACGCAAC